TTATATCATTTTATTTATCCTCTAAATATACCATGTTTTACTGTCACATTTTAATCCTTAATGAAATAGAAGCTTATTTGAAATTAAATAGAATATTATCATTTGTTCGCATTTCTTGAAAGAGATGAAATCCTTATTAATTTATTATTCTGAGATTATTTATGCCTTGATATTCTTCCAAGATTTCCAGATATTCTTTAAGATTGTTCATCTCTAAATCAGATATCTATAATGAACGTTTCACTCTGTTTAAATTGATCCTTCAGAGAATATTTGCGATTCGAAGAACGATGCATTCCAAATATGCGATCTTTCTAATGTTTTCCTACCGGACGTCCTATATGGATGTATTATAATTGTGCAAACACAATCTTTTCGTATAAAATAACACGGCTGTCCATCAGGAGCGCGTAAACGTCCGATGTATGCGAAACGCGCCCGTATTCTACACGAATTATATTTAAGTAAACATTTGCAAACGTCTAAAATGCATTAACCCTGACACCGACCGTCGAGGTAGAATACTGCAATAGCGTTGCATCGACAATTCCTAGTAACTAGTCGTAAGTCGTAACCGTTGACGCGAAAATCGCAGAACTTCATGCTCCCGCCGAATTCCCGCGTGTTTGCTTTCATTAACAAAAAACGTGCCGAATCCGCGTGTCTTCTCTTCGCGTATATTTATTTATTAATTTATTTAACATCCGCGGGTGCAAATCCGCGACGTACCGCGGATTCGAAGAATCGATGTTGGCGTGCATAATAACTGTCTGCACAGACAGTTTTCAATTATAAATAGTCGTCGTGGATTCAATCTGGCAAATTCCCCGCTAAATTGTGTGTAATTTTGAAACTCTCGCCGGTTGCCATCCTGAGAATAACCGCGTATTGTCTCGCGTTTGTCGATTCTTTTTACGCGACAATCGATTTCAGCTTAAAAAATTCCGTTCTAGTCATCAAATTGAAAAAACAAAGAGGAATAAAATAAAATCTGTAGACGAAAAATGATATTTGATGTAAGGTCACCACATATTTTTTTATCTATCAAAATACTTAGACCGTTACTGAAATGCATTTATAATATCTTTCTCTGTCGCTTCTTCGTATAAAGATAGAAAAAAAAAACAATGTTAAAGATTGAAAATGATATAATTTCTAAATTCTACATATACTTTCGATTCTTTCATCTATCCGAAAACGATTCCAAGTAACGAACTGTAATCATTTTAACGTCGATAGTTAGTTATTTCGAATTATTAACGTCATGTAATCTATTTAAGATGTAATGACGTTATTTTTTTACCAATTAATGATGTCATTCATTTATGACGCATTTACAACGTTATACTTATTGACGTCAGATAAATGACTAATCGATGACGTATTGGTAACGTTATTAGTGTATTAATAACGTCACTTATTTACGCCGTTAATAACACGAAAATAATGACGTATTTTCGACGTTGCTTATGTGACTGTGACAAATCCACGTCACTTTTACACGTCGATAGGACGTCGTAAAGAATGGCCAATTAATCACGTCAAATAAACGATAATACTAATCAATTTAACGCCGAAACATAGTGATTAATTACTTATTAAGTATTGAGTATTAAAAGCACTTGTTCACACAGTACTTGATAATTAATTAATCATTCAATATTAAATTTCTGTAAGGGCAATGTAATGTACATAATTTGAGAGATTCATCACGAGAGACATTGTTGATCAGCCGTTTTGTAAAGAAACTAGCACCGGCTATTTTTCGTACCATTCTGCGGGAACAAACTCGCTTATAATGTACAAAGAATAAGGGGGGGGGGGAAACCAAATAATGACAAAAAGTGGAGGAAAAACGCAGTCGCAAGTCCTACAGTGAAAACTATGAATTTTTAAACTAACAATCCCGTATGATGATTTAAATTATACGTCTTTTGAAATACGAGTGAATTCATCGTCGATCAGTAACGCTCGAGCAAAACGAAACAAAAGGCACATCGTCTGCAGACGATAATAACGTGTGTTCAATAGAACTGCACGTTACACATCAAATTGTTTTCCCGTGCAAACGCAAAGGCTGCAAACGCACGCACGCACGCACGCACGCACACACCGAGAAGTTACAGCCTCTTCGCAACCGGGGAAGGTATGAAAATAAGCTCGTAAATTACGTGGGTCATTACGTGGGTTATCGTGGGTACCTCAGCGCGCATCTCACTGTACGATCACTGAAAAATCACTGTCACGCGCCCACCTCGCCGCAAAAATTCGGCCACGAATCTTATTACGTCGCCGCGCCGCGAATCTCTTAACCGCGCGCCGTCGTGTTACGCGTAACGCGAACGATCGCGCGCGATCTCGTAATCAAACAATCCTATTTCCACTCGCCGGCCACTCCGCGCCGTCTCTTAATTCGCGCCCGATCGTTCGATCACCAGCAAGGCGCGACGTTTGATCTCGCCGCTTGCGCAGAATCACATTTCCACCGCGAGACCGTCGGCGCGTCGTCGCGCCGGATTCGTTTCGCGCGTCGGATATATGGGATAACGAGACGCGGAGGGGGCGATGGAGGGAGAGAAAAGGAAAAGGGGGGGGGGTGGAGGGGGGAGGGA